CTGACCTGCAAAGGGATGAGAAGCTCTCTCCTGGAGGCTCAGAGACTTGAGAAAAACCAGCGAGTTCTCTACCCTACATTTTCTTCCTTCTGCCGAATGTCTGCAGAAGGTGCTGCAGGGGCCACCTTGTCTCCATATACAGCTACAACTTAGATTGTCGCTTCCTGTGCATGGTCAGAGGGGTCGACGAAGGCCAGGTCTGGATCGGAGGCTTGCTCAAGGGCTGGCTAAGTGAGGCACCAACCTCCGCAGGGACAGGAAGTTCTCTCTGACTGCCTCCAGGGAGCCCCTGCTGGCCGTCTAGCCACATCTCAGCGGCAGAGGAGGCCAGTCTCAAGCAGCAGGCAGGGCTGTGCTGGAGCTGGCTTGGACTGGGTCAGGAGGACCGATGATTCCGGGCATCTCGTCCCAGCTCCATGCTCATGGACTTCATGCCTGTAGCTTGAAATCTGCCCCCCGTGGACATACACACACCAAGGAAATGGGCAATTGTTGTAAATCAGGGTTCCTCCTGCCCTCTGTGTTCTCACCGTCCCCCAGAGCTGGCTGTCGAACATTTCCCGGAGCATCACTGGAGTCAGGAGATAGGCTCCATGGCCAGCTTAGTGACCTATGAGCTGGATGACTTCCTTGGAGTCTCAGTTTCTTCATCTCTAAAATGGACCACTTCTCTCAAGGCAGCTCAGGGATTGTGGATGAATAGGTGCCATTATATTTGCCTCTCAAGCGTGGTCCCTGGGCCAGCAGTATCGGCAAACCGGGTAGCTTGTTAGGAATGCCCCATCTTGGGCCCCACCCTCGAGCTCCTGAATCAGAACCTGCATTTTAACAAGGTCCTCAGGAGATCTGTGTGCACAGTAGATGGAGAAGCCTGCTCTGTGTGATGGCTGGGGGTACTGGAATTGCCTGCAAGCCCTCAGGCATGGGTCTCTAGCGACTCTGGCTCCTGGCTGGGTGGGCAGTGAGAGGGGAAAGGAACACTCAGTGAGCCTTCTCTGGGGCTCCTGGATCTGTCTCCCTGGACCTCAGCCCTCTGACCCAGCCTATCACTTCTTTAGTTCCTGTGCCGGAGATTTCAATAGACTGATGGGAGCTGTGGGAATTTTGGATACTGGGCCCCAGGACAGCCTGCGAAATGGGGAAGGCAACTGTGTGGCCCTATGCACCAGAGATGAGGGGGACTGGGACCAGGGCAAGGGGGGGGGCAAGGTAGACTCTTACACACTGTACCTTTGAGGTCCCTGAACACACCTCCCTAAACTCACACCTTCCCCCAACTGGAGAAGCCACGTCCTCTGTGAGGAGGGCTGAAATGTAGGGATTCCTCAAAGCAAAACCAGGCGATGGGGTGCCCTGTATGGGAGCTAGTTGGGGGCTCTCCATCCTCACCGGCAGTGCTAGGCTCGGGGCCTGGGGGCTGCTTTCCTTCCTCTGATATGAGGGCCACGAGGAGTGACTGACGCGACAGATGAGAGGAGCAGATGTGAATGCAAGGTATGGACAAGGGACGAAGGCAAGATGTGGGAATCAGGGCTGGTTGACGGATAATTCACCAGTTTGAACAGCATGGAAGCCAGATGTGAGGGAGCTAGCACCGTGGCTAAGACCGTACGTGCTGGAGGAAGCCTGCCGCCATCCACATCCGGCTCTGCCTCTTGCAGGCTGAGACCCAGGCAAGTTATTACCCCCACTAAGCCTCACCTTCCCCATCTGTGAAATGGGGATGATGATAACATCTACCTGTCGGGGTCACTGTGAGGATCAAGTGCAATAGCCCACGGGCAGCACTTAGCACACTGCCTCCCTCCTCCCTTGGGAGGAGCCGGATGCACCTTCGCTGGAAGGCACACGTGGGGAACACAACTGGCAGTCCTGACCATGGCCAGCCGGAGGAGGGAAGGAGGGCCACACGCCACACAGGCGGCAGCTGACATCACCGTGCTCTCCACTGCTGGGGGGGGCACTGACAGTGGACTTCATGCGAAAGGAGTCTGCCCTTCGTCTGCTCCTTCTAAGCCCGAGGCTCGAGGCGCTGAGCCCCTGCCTCGGAACCCCCTCCCTTCACCACCCCCGGCAGCCCCCAGAACCCCCAGGCTGTCCCCCAGACCCTCCTGGCCATAAACCCAGACTTTCCCGACTGTCTCATTATCGCGCACACTGGAGGACTGCCGGTGGAGCTGTGGACGGCTCCCTGCCGCGGGGCAGGCCGGGAAGCACAGCTGGAGCACCTGGGGCCCCGGGGGGCTGGTGGGCTCCCCATGGCTCTTCTCTGCCCGACCTGCTCCCCCAGGCACGGGGGGACCGCCTCATTTGTGCACCAGGCGAGACTGGCCCTCTTGCTTTTTTGGCCCCCATAAGGGGTGCGGGAAGGGGTGGGGAGTGGGACAGCTTTCCAATGTGGAGGGGATGTCACTCATTCAAGAATTGGGGTGCACATGGGGTGTAGTGAGATCCTACCTGGGGGAACCACGTGGGAGGGAGGAAGTCTCCTCTAGGGCAGCCGGCTCCTCTAGCCCTGGGTCTTCCTGGCCTCTCAGACACTGGCCCCTGTTTTCTATTCTCCCAGCCACCTGTGGCTGAGTTCCAAGTCCCCCGCTCCTGAGATGTGTCCTCCACTCCTTTCCCAGGTGTGTCCCCCACCCCAATCCCTTCTCCCTCTCCCCCATCCCCAGCTGACCTCCCTAGAGAGAAGACATTCTCAGACGGGAGCTGCCTCCCACCCCGAGGGCCTTGGGGCAAAAGTTACAGCACCAGGTAGCAGTGTGGCTCCCGTCCCTATTCTAGAGCCCCAGGCCCCCACCGCTTTCCCTCACCTCACTGTCTCAGACCCCGGGGACCCGGACAGACAGACGGAGGGAGAACACTGCTGCAGTTCTTTGTTCCAGGCAGGATGCTGGGGTTGATAGGCAGGAAGCTCGGACCTGAGACTGGGTATTAAGAGGGCAGAGAGCCCTGGGTTGTTGGGGTGTGGGGGGGATGCAGAGAGAGAGACTTTAAGGCACAGAGCTAGCTAGCTAGCTAGATGATATACTTACTTCTTGAGCGCGTAGTTCTACATGGGGTGCAGGGAGAGAGTACATGGGGTGCAGGGAGAGTTGTGAGTGCGCACACACGTGCGTATATGTATCTTGGTGTGTACAAGAGTCAATCCTTGTATACCTGTGTCCATCTGTGTCCGTGTGAATCTATATTTATAAATATGCACAAATCTGTATGAGCCAGTGTGTATCTGTGTGTTGAGTGTGTGCACATCTTCAACGCCTCTGTATATTTATGGATACATCTGGATGTTGTGTACGTCTGTATAGCTCTGCCCCCTCACGTGCCTGGATCTGGGTGTGCTTGTATATGTGTGTACCAGCAGGTTTGTGAGTGCGCGTGTATGTGCGTGTGTGGCGTACGTATATACGGGCCCACGTCTGTGTGTACATCTATCTGTCCAGGCACGCGATGGGATGCAGAGTTTCAGGAACAAGAACAGTATTCTCAGATGGGCTTTGCTGCTAAAGGGGCGGGAGTTTATGGAACAGGTCAGGAATGGAGATCCCCAGGGGAAGGAGGTGGTGAAAAAGCAGGAGACGAGTCCCTTGAACATGAAAGGGCCCCTGGCAGCAGGACGACGGGCCTGGGCATTGCAATGAACGTCACCAATGCTGGGCCCAGGGACTGCCTCTAGTAGAGGCCTCTCCTCAGGAGAGGGGTCTGTCCATCTGCCCTGGATGGGCACTGAGCCGGGAAACTTCTAATCACAGCATGTTGGTCTTCCCAGGGGCAGAGAAAGGGGGCTCCCTGGGGGTCAGACCCTCCTCCCCCAGGTCCCTCCCTTGCATACTTTAACAAGCTGATTCTTGACGCTCTGCTTCTAAAAGGAGAGTGGAATCCCGCCGGGGGGGTGGTGGGAGGATGCTCGGTAAGGGAAGATCTGCATAGGGAGCTCCGGGACTGGTATTTTCGCTTTTATCAGCCTCCACTTATCTCCTGGTTGGGGAATGAGCTGTAGCCAACACCAGTGGCCCAGTATCTTGCCAGCCAACACAAGAGATAGAGGCAGGGAGGGGAAGGGAGCGGGGCTCAGACCCCTCCAGACTGAGGCTCGCTTGAGGCAGGACAGGGGAGATAAGATATCTCTCAAATGTCCAGCACTGTCAGTTACTGGGCTTCAACTTCAACCATTATGCATTTATATCTTTGGCTGTTTAAGGCCTTTCAGTCTTGGATAGCCCTTGATTAAAAGGCGAATACTCTTGGGAGAAGAAACTCCTGAGGGTGTTACCTATTAAAACCTCTGGGAGGTTGATGGGTAACTTGTGGAGAACAAGGTTTTGCGAGAAGGAACAGAGGAGGGAAGGGTGTGTGTAACCGTCAGTGGCCGTGGGCTGGGGGGTTGTGGAGAAGAGGGGGATAATGCGGCGGAGGGTGCTGTGTGCACTGTTTCCTCCTCCTGAGGACCCAGGAGGACTGTTTCCCAGTCTTCCTTGTGGTAAAGTTGGGCTCTGCGGCCTGCCGCTGAGCCTGGCCTGTGCGATGGGTTTGGAGGTGCTGTAAGCGTCTTTGGGGCCTGGCCTTTCCGGGGTCCGTGAGCCTCCCGTCCCCCCTTCGTGCCCCCGTGACTCGGCCTCCGTGTGTCTCGGATGGCACAGCCACCAGGCGGGGGAGGGGGCTGTCTGACCCACTGTGTGATATGGAAATTTGAGGTTCTGCTATTTCCTTGGTCCTGCAGCCTAGACACCTCGTTTAGCCCAGCACATACCGAAAGGAAGGGGTGCACGGATGTCCTGGTTTTTCTCAGAGAGCTGTGGCACAGAAGTCAAGATCGCAGACTCCAGAGCCATAAAGCTTGGGGCTGGAGGCCCAGCTCTGCCGGCTCAGTCTCTTCCCCTTACTAAGCCTCAGTCCCCCTTCTGTAAAAGGAGGGTCACAGTAGACGACCCGCGTCGCGCACCCCGCCCATTGCTCAGCAGGGGTGAGTGATCTCTAAATGTTAGCTTTTATGCGGGGTAACTACAGACACAACGGACTGCTAGGAGTGAGTATGGGCTCCAGTTCAAACTTCCACGGATTCCAGATTTCTTTTTCCATCCGGTAGGATTAGTGACAAGCCACGGCAACCCCAGCAGGGTTGGCGCGTTGGGGACTGTGCCGAGTCCGCCACGATGCGGCAGGGCCCAGCCAGCTGCTGTCGCTACTACAGACAACAGCTGTCCATCTAGTGCCCAGAAGCCGTGGCTCAGCTCCGTGTGGCCCACACGGCAGGCTCGCCGTCCCGAGTTCACACACTTGCTGGCAGGCCCAGGAGTGGCTGCTGTACCCGCGGGACGACCACCCCAGTCCGGAGGAAAGGGAGGACATGGTTGCTGCAGTCTCCTCTGCAGGGAACATCCCTGTGACCCCTGCCAGGGCTGCCTGTGGGTCTCCCAGGTGCAGAACGCGGCCTCCGCTGATGTCTCTGCTCGTCAGATCTCTGGACACGGCCTGATGCCCGAGGCCACCCCTGGGGTGGTGTGATCCCACCAGCCTGAGGATGAGGTGGGGGTGAAGGCCGAGCAGGGGAAGGGGTGATGCGCCTCCTGCGATGGAATCTGACCCATTTTCCCCCAGAGCGGGGCATCACTGGGGTCAGGCCTTTGCAAGTGCCCACTGCTCCTAAACTAGTCCCTTCCAAATGACTCCCAAAGCTGCCCCCCTCTACACCCCACCATCTCCCTGCACCTTCTGTAGAGGGGCCAGCCCTCCATCTGCAGGCAAGCTCTTTGCAGCTCAGACCACATGGTCATGCCTACACTCCAACTTTTCCAGACACCTCCAGACAGTGGGGCTAATGAAACTCGTCCTTCAGGGCCACCCTCATGCATGAGCCCCTTCTAATACCTAATTTCGTATTATTTTGAAAAGATGCCCTAAATTGTATATGCTTCAGTCTTCTGAAGACCTGGGTCTGCTCCTGAGCTCTGCCCTGGGAGACTCCCGGGCCTCTCACCAGAGGAGAGTCCAGAAAGGGGAGGGGACGCCAGGCTGACAGAGGTGTGGGGGGACTAGATGCTCCCACAGCAGGGTTTCTGGCTCTTTGCTTTTGCAGGACACCTGGGTTCTCGTTTGGCCACTAACTGTGTGACCCAAGTCATTTCCCCTCTCTGGCCTCAGTCTGTTCCTCTGTAAACAACAGAGTGGGACAAAAGGGATTCTAGCACTTGAACACTGACCACCGATTAGGACCCCGTGGGGGGTGGCCTGGCTGACCACCTGCTCACAGGGCATCGGGCTTCACTGCAGCCTGTTCACCAGCATCGTAAAAGAGCACGGCCCGCTAAGAAAAGGGCCTGGGTCTGGGAATCACGCCCACCCTAGGGGTGGCCTAATTCCACTGCTGGAGTGGGGGGCCCAGAGAGAGAACAGAATGGCCCTTCCCTGGTTGGGGACAGAGCTAAGTCATGCCTCCTCTTTACTTCTGAATTGGGGATCCACCCAAGTCAGAGAGAGAGACCTGCATCACTATCTAACTGGTCTCCCCTAAAATGGGGCCTGAGTTCCTGTTGAAAGCCCGGTGCTTACTCTTTATTCAGCAGAACCTAATCCTGGTCCCTGTGGCGAAGGCTGAAGCTGCAGGGGCAGATGCCCCCTGGGAGTTCACTCTTCTCTTGTGGGCGTGGGTGATGGAGTTAGATCTGGGTTCAAATCGCAGCCCTCTTGCTTCTTGGCTGTGTGGCCTTGGGCAAACGACTCAGTCTCTCTGAGCCGCAGTTTATCTTCAAAACAGGGAAACTATTACCTACCTCATCGGATTATTCTAAGGGTTAAATGAGATAATGTGTGTGATGCTGCCTGGCACTCGGTAGTGCCTTGTGACCACTTGTTACTACTATTACGCTCTCTACTCTTCAGAAGGGAGAAAACTCAGGTGCTGCTGCGCTGGGGCTCCTGGGAAGCTGACAGGGGCAAGGCAAGGGGTGAAGGGGAGATGGAGGTCTTAGCAGGGGGAACTACCTGTCTGCCAGGGCACTGGGAGGCCCAGACACCTGGGTCCGGCGTGGCTTCGTGGGGTGAGCAGCGGAAATGAAAGCCCCGCCCCTTTCCATCCTCCCTCACCCGGGTGTGATGCCCTATCGGGAGGCCTGGAGCCCAAGGGTGAGCCTGGGGCCCTGGAAGAGGCCTTAGTGGCCGATGGAGTAGGCCCCCGAATCCGTGGACTGCTTCTCCTCGGTGGTCTGGTCGCTGGGGCACACTGGGTGGGCCGAGGCAGTGACCTTCAGCGTTGTCTCGTCCACCTGCAAGCAGAAGGGCAGGCATTATCATCCTCTGAGCGTCATTGTGCTCATTATCAGGGAGCTCCAGCAAGTCTGTGTGACCCCAGCGGTCCTTCCATGAACCTCATGGGCCAACAGAAACCCGAGCTAACCCACAGCTGTCCCGCCCCAGAAATGGAGAGGGGACAGTGAGTGGATGGGGGTGTTGGCAGTGATGAGCCACAGAGCCCCCACAGAGCCCATTCTTGGCCGAATCTCTCTCTTCTGGACCCCCAATTTGCACTGAGGTCCCATGAACTCCCCTTAAGAAGCCCCGAAAAGGGGGAGCCACTGAGAGCCCCCTGGGGTCTAGTGTCCCTCCCTGCCCTATCCCTTTACGTCTCGTGCCCCACCCCAACCCTCCCCTCCAGCTCACCTCCTCAAACTTTTTGGCTTTGTACTGGTCGGCCCCCTTGAGGAAGTTGAGCAGGATGATGTCACAGAGGACAGTCCCCTGGAGGAGAAGAGGCAGAGCAGGCTCAGTGTGGCAGGAAGCAGCAGGCTCAGGTGGCTGTGGAGTGGCCCTGGCAGTGGGCAGGACCGCCCTCAGGCAGACAGCAGGCCAGGGGTTGGGGTGAGTCCTCCAAAGACACCTGACTGATGTTTCCACTTGGAAAAACATCCAGGGGCTTTGCAGAATGTCTTCATCACCCACCTCTCCAGCTCTTGGCAGTGACCGCAGACCAAAATACAGAGAGAGGACTTAGTGGGAGAAGCAGAGGGTGAGGGGGTAAAAGTCCCTGGGAGCAGGGCTCTGTTCCTTTGGCCTGTGGAACCCTGGAGTCTCCTCCCTCACTTTCATGGTGGGGAGCAGGAACTTTATACCAGGTGGAGCCTCCTGCAAATGGGGAGGCTGCTGTGGGAGGGCTTTGCAGAATGTCTTCATCACCCACCTCTCCAATGAGCTCTCCGTGACTAGAGACGTTCACTCAAGGACTGACCCAGCAGGGAGGCAGTGAGGGAGACTGAGGCACCTGGCCAGAGGTCAGGCTTTCCATTCTAGGCAGAGGCAGGGCTTACCTGGGCCACTCCCCCTCGCCCCCAGCTGGGGCCCCACCTTGATTGGTCTCCTGTCTGAGCCTGGAGGGGCTGAACTCACCACTCCCACAGACGTGAAGGCTGCCACAGAGCTGATGATGGTGGGGATGATGTTGAACTTGCCAGCCTGCAAGCAGAAAGACCAAGGCAGGTGGGCAGAGGGTCCAGCACGAGGTCCTGAGGCTTGAGGCTGAATGTGGACTCCCAGCCCGAGAGACCGTGGAGTGGAGGGTTCTTGGTAGACCAGGAGGCCCCAGCCCTTGACCGCAGCGGTGAAGAGACTAGAGATGTGACTCACTAAGGCTCTCAGAGCTGGTCAGTGGCAGGAACTTGCCCCCCGGGAGGAGGCTCTTGAGGGCCCAAGACTGGTCTGGGTTTCCTCCCCTGTCCTCCCCCTGATCTGCCCGGCCCAAGGACTCACGTTCCCATACACCAGCACGTCAAAGCGGATGCCAAAAGCCTTCAGGAGTGTGCGGTACTCACTGCCATTCTCCATCTTGTAGTACTTGGCAAACCTGGAAGCCAGACGTGGAAGGTGGGTCCCACCGTGGGCTCCTACCTGAAGCTTCAAGGTCCTCTAGAGCCTACAACACTCACTTACTGAGCAACTCTTACTGATGGTTTGCTGGACACCTGCCACAGTCCTCCCTGTGCGGTTAGCTGACCCTCTGTGCAGACATCATCCTGGGGGCTTGTGACCAAGGCAGATCCCCAGCCCCACCCTGAACCTGTGGAACCCGCATCTCTGTGGGTAGGGCCCAGGACTCTGCCTTTTAAGTAATTTCCCTAGATGATTCTGATGTGTGCAAAAGTCTGAGTCTTGCTGGACTCCAAGCTTCTTCGGTTTTATTTTATTTTATTTATTTATTTATTTTATTTGTTCGGTTTTATTTTATCAGCAAAGTGTAATTTCTTGGGGCTACCATGGACCCGCAGGGGTGACAGGATCCCAGGAGCATGCGAGGGTTAAGTGAGATGATGCGGAAAAGGGGCTCAGAAAGCTCCGTAACTCTGTGGGGTTGCCATGGATCTTATTTGGTGCCGGCTGTCTCCCCTTCAGTGTTTCCGATGATCCCCAGATCCCCAGGCCTCTCCCACAGAGATGGGAGTCTGGGGAGCTCCTTCCCGGAAGGTGTCCAAGTGTTCTGTGACTGTGACGCCCCTCCCAGGGCTATTTGCATTTGAGCGCGCACGGCAGGGGCAGGGCAATGCTCAGCCCAAGGGCACAGATAGCAGAGGGGAAGAGTCATCGAAACTCATACGGTCAGCCATTGTCTGCTCCGGCTGTGTGAATGCTGGAGGCAGGCAGAAACGAGTCTAAATCCTGGCTCCGCCCCTTGCTGGCAGTGGGGCCTTCTATGTGACTCAGAACAGCTTCACGGCGCACGTCTCTGACCTGGGGGTGCTCATGCCCTCCCCTCACCCCCCCCCCCGCCGCCACGGGTCTGTTGGTGAGAGGGGTAAACACTGAGACCCACCCTTTGAGATGGGCCCTGTCGAGATCCCGGGGTTGGGCCTTCTGCCTGTCCCTCCGCACCGGTTCTCTGCCCGCCCTTCTCCGCAGGGCCTGGGACCCTGGTCTGCAGACCCTGCCTCCACCAAGCTCCCTGCCCTCTGGCTCCCGGTGGGCTCAGCAGTGGGAGGCATCCAGGGGCCATCAGAGGGCGGGAATGGAAGAAGAGTTTAACTGGGTCAGGAAAGAGTCCGGGCTGCACGTTTTCATGCCTGCCCGTCCCTGGGCATGGCTGGAGCCTGTGTGCTCACGTGGTGCACCTGCCACCCCAGGCTGAAAAGCTAAGGCCAAAAGCTCGTCAGTGAGGGAAAGGTTCCCCGGGGAGCCTGACCTCGGAAGGTGTGTCCCGTGGCCTTTGCAGCCAAAGGGGGAGGCAGGGGAGGCAGGATGATCTTGAGACTGAGACCCAGAGTAAAAATGGGAGTGGCCCCAGGAAGAAGACTGAAAGAAACCCAACTACCTATGCCAAAGAAGCAAAGACCTGGAGGACAAGGAGAGAGGGGAGGGGCTGGACTAGCTTTAAAGATGTGGTAAGTTATGGTCTGGGTGGCGGCGGCAGAGGGTTTCACAGACCAAGGCAGAATGGAGTGGGCTGGGCTGCACCAGGAGGGGGACCCATTTTACAGATGGGGAGACAGAGAAGAAGGTAACTTGCCCGAGCCGGGATTCCAGTCTGCTCTTAACCGTGAACCTGCTGTCTCTGGGCTCCAGGTGGCCAGTAAGGAGCCAGATCTCAAAGCCCTTCTGTATTCTGTGTTCTGTTCGCATCATTGGAGAACTCAGGTTCCCTGTCTGGGAGATGTGGTACCTGATGTCCTCGGGGACCGGGAAGGGGCGGGGAGGGGGGTCACAGATGTTTGGGGCAGGGCAGAGGCCAGGACTGTGCTCCTGAAGTCTGCATTCCGGCCCGAGGCTGCAGCCACGAAAAACGTTCTCACCTCGCCTCGGAGAACAAAAAGTCAGCATCCTGGGCACTGCGTTCAAAGCGAAAGCTGGCTAAATTTATCTCGGGAAGGAATGTGAAGGAACAGGGAGAAAAACCAAAGCGGACTTGGTTTTTCTCCAGCACCTGCCTTCCAAGAGGCAATAAGTATGATAAGATCATTATCTCACCAACCACCCACCCTCGGAAGAGGGTTGGCAGGGACTGGTTCTCTTCCTGGGAGGGAGGGAGGAGGCAGAATGGCGCCCGGGGAGGGAGGGCCCTGGCTGCAGGAGGGAAGGTCCTGGGAGTCCTGACTACTGCGTTCAAGGGTGGCCCGTGAGGGTCACGGAATCCGGCCCAACCCTGTGGCACTGGGGTTTGGGTTATCTTTTCTCTTGGCACACGGCTGGACTATGCTGCCCAACCCCTTGCAGTGAGCTAGGTGGGGCCCTTGCCTAGTAATGTGAATGGAAGTGAGGTCTGGCACCTGTGGGCTGAGGTGTGTCAGAGCCATGTGCCTTGTTCACCCCCCACCCCCGTCCTCATGGCCACTTGCTCAGGAGCTAGGGGTGAACTCAGGCCCTGGGGGAGCCTGATTCAATAGGTGACAGGAGCCCCTGAGCCAAGGGGGTTGTTTGTTACAGCAGCTAGCGATATTTACCCTGTTACAAGCACCCCTGATTTTCTAGCTGAGGGAACCTGGGGTTCAGGGAGAAGTTCTCTACCAAAGGATGACGAGTGAGTTAAAATTGGGGAGTTTTTCAAGATTAGCCTGCAAGAGGGCAATTCCCAATGATGACACATTCCTAGGCTTATTCCATCTAAGAGTCTTGGAGGTCTGGGTGTGGTTCTGTTATCTTTAATTAGCTTTTCCACCCTGCACCAGTGAAGCCTCTCTGAGCTTTCTGCCTCAACTGAGTGGTGAGAATAGAAAGAGTCATGGGGAGGATGGATGAAATAATGTTAACATACAAGAAGTCCCTAAAGCTTGTCCCTTTTCTTTCTTTTCCTAGGATCACGATAAATGAAAGAATATCTACGTTCCCCTGGGCCACTACAGTCTCCTGCATCCTAGAGAGAATCCCATCAGCGGTAAGAAGAGCCAGCACACACCGAGTGCTTACTATGTGCCCAGCACTGCGCCACGTGCTTTACACTTTCTTTTAAGACCCAGCCCCATGGAATTGAGTTCTATTGTCCTTCCCATTCTACAGATGAGGAACCAGGATCACACAGATTAAGCAATTTGTCTAAGGTCCCCAAACCCAGCAGTTAGTAACCGAACCTGGGATTCAGACTCAGGCAGTTCCAGTGCCAGAGTTCACACTCTGGGCCAGTATTCTTTCTAGACTGTTCTTTTTTGTTGCCTGATTTCTATTAGGTCGCCGCTGATTTCTTTCAGTTCTCCAGCTGGGGGCCCTCTTGCATTGGTAAGGCAGGTCTCGACACCCAGCGTCATCGGCTGGGAGTAGAACAGAAGAGCCATGGAGTGTGGGAAGAAGGATTCCCTAGCCTCCTCCACTGAAAAGGAGATGGACGGAGCGACACCCTGGCCATCTCTGATTTCTCCCAAATCCCCTGATTCCTACCTCTCCAGCTTTGGTTTTCTTGGCTGGGAAATGCAGTCGGCGAGAACAACACCAATACCCTCCCGGGCCAGCACCTTCCTGACCTGTTGGAAGAAGCCCCTCCGTGCCATGCAGTTCAAGTGCCAGCCACACCACTCCACCCATTTTCTTGTTTCCTGAACACATCCCACAGACGCAGACTTCTTGCCTGTGCCCATGCTGTTCCTCTCTCCTCCCCTTCCCACCTTGCAAACTCCTATTCAGCCATCAGGGCCCAGCAGGTATTTAGAGCACATCTACCCTATGCCAGGCACTGTGCTAGGCCCCGCTGACACCTTGGCAACAAGCTCTGCTCTCATCAGAGGGAGAGAAATATGAATAACCACACACTCCCATAAATAGCTAAAATCTGACGTAAGGGCTGGAGAAGAGAGAGCACCATTTGAAGAGCACATTTAGTAAAGACAATCTGACCTAGGCTGCGAGTCAAGGAAGGCTTCGTGTAAAGTGACGTTAGAGCTGAGGCCTGAGGGATGGAGGGTTGACAGGTGCGAAGGCCAGAGGTGGGGGCCGCTTTCCCGGCTGCGGAAGCCACGAGCCCTCTCCTGAGAAAGGACATAGTGTCTCTGAAGAAGCTGCAGGAGCTTGGTGGGCTGGAGACTGGGACAGGCGGAAACGGCTGGGTCCACGTGGTCCTGCCACTGCCCACATCTCTTCCCAGTTCCACATTCAGGGACTTCACACACAGCTTGAAATTGACAAGAGGGGTATATTTACACCAGGGAAATTGGCGACCACCATGAATCAGGTGTTTCCTTTGTCTGTTTCCTTTTTCTCCAGAGCCCGTTTATCAGTGTGCGGGGAAGCTGTCAAATCCCCTTGGCGGCAGCTGCTGGAGGAGGAGCTTTGGAATGAGACAGTCCTGGGCTTGAACCGTGGCTCCAGATTAGTTTACATAAGCCGAGGGAAAGTCCTTCGCTTCCCAGAGCCTCCGTCTCCCCAGCTGTGAAATGGGGGTACTAGCAAGAGCAGCAGGCTTGCGCCGGAGGATTCTGTGAGCTGCTGGCTGTGAGGCTTCGAGCTTTCAGTGTGTGCCGCCTGGTGCTCATCGGGCTGGAGAGAAGCCTGGCGGGTGGCTATAAAAGTTCCTGGGCCTGCCAGGGGCACAGCTGGGATCTGAACTCCAATGCCCACGCCCGCTGCTCCCCTGAGAGACGAGCCAGAAAGGGGACTTCAGGGCGGCCTCGGTGAGCAGGGACGTATGAAGCTGGTGCCTCCTGAGGAGAGGACGCATGGCCCGGACGGTGGGGATGCACCGAGGAGAGAAGGGCGCCTGCCGCCTGCAGCCGCTGAGCCCAGGAGGGGCAGGGACCCCCCGGGGTCGAGGGTCGCAGGGCAGGCCCAGAGCTTCTCTGATAGGGCCAGCTGTGGGCAGCGGTGGAAGGAGGGCGGAGAGCCCCTGGCATGCCCACCACTCTCCACTGCTGACCTCCACGGGCCGCCTGCCTGCCTCCCTTCCTCTCTGGTTAACGCGGGGCTTTGGGGAACGGGGACACTGGAGGGGCCAGAGGGCAGGCAGACGGCCGGTATATGGCCCACTCCTTCCCTGCATGGCTGGGGCTCTCTCCGTGGTTGTGCTGCTCTATATGACTGTCGCTCGTGTCAGGGACCCCAGCTCTCGGCTGGGCTCCCGTTCCTCCCTGGGGCTGGGGCCTGGCGGTGGGAATGGCTTCCCACGCTGTTAGGCTCTGAGTGTCTCCGCTCCCACGCTGCGTGAGTTTCTTCACAAACGCCGGCTGAGAGGGCTTTCCCATGAGGACCCTCCCGGGGATACCTGTGCTGTGACTGGACAGGACAAGCCCAACGTGGCACCGAATCCAACAAGCTGAGGCCTGACAGGGCTGAGACACTTGTGTGTGTGTGTGTGTGTGTGTGTGTGTGTACACGTGATCCCTCGTGCCACGGGCAGCAGCAGATAAAGAATGAGTAAGTACAAACATCAGTTACCATAATAAATCATTTGTCAGATGTGCTTCAGCAGGGCAGCGTGGAAGCTACGTTCCAGTGTGACAGGTCTATAAATAATAGTGCACGCTTCAGCGGCCCGTTTCCAAAGCCTTCCCCAGACACCCACATGCACTCCTTCAGACTTTCAGAGCTTGAAGGGACCCGAGCACCTTGAAACAGCCCATTTCACAGAGGAGGAAACTGAGGCCCATGGAGGGGCCGAGACTTGCTGAAAATCACACTGAGCGTTCGTGGTGAGGCCTCAACCACAGCCTGTGGGCCTCCTGACGTGCAGCCTGGGCTCTCTCTGCTTCACCTTTGCTTCATCTTAAGATGAATAATTAATTATTTTTGGCTTGCTCCAGCACAAAATATTTTTCGTATAAATATTTTGTTACTTGGGTGCAGGTTTCTCATTTCCACGTGATCATAGGAACTGGTCTCGTTCGTGTTTGTGCCTGCCAGAATCTGGCATTGGAGGAGATCTCCAGAGCCCTCCCCTCGTTAGCTGCAGGAGGTGTGCTGCGGCTGCCTGGACCCCCCACAGAGAGAGGATACTGGGAGCAGCCCAATTGCAGCCTTGGGAGGCTCCGGCCTGCAGGAACGCTTCTCCACGCCGGGCTGACATTTGCCGTAGTCCGCAGTCCATAAACATCTGTTGAATGGAGAAGGGTTTGATCACAATGTACGAATCCCTTGGAAGCTCTGAGACATCTGTTTAGCAACGATCCCATAGAGTGATGGAAATTCTTTCCTAAAGCAGGGACACGTAACTGTTACAGGAAAAATAGCAACAAACTCGCGGGATCCAGGTTGGACTTGTGAGGGAAAACTTGGGCCTGGGATTTGAGTGTCTGAGTGAAGGAAGTGGTGTTCTCTGCGAAGCTTTTGCCTGGTGAGAAGTGATTTTGCCAGCTGAAATATACTTTTACAGTTGATTTTATACTGACAGGAAAATATCTCCTGGCAGACTCATTGCGTGGGGGCGGGGCAACGTCCTTGGAGCAGGCTGGGACTCCTTCCCTTAGAGAAGACCCCGAGCCATGTTTACTTATGAATATTCTGGGAACCTAATCAGCTTCAGGGGCCGATTTAAGCAGTGGTTGGTTGTTGACCTTTTTAAACAGATTTCTGTTAGTTCATCTTGAATGAGGCAGGAAAAGATCAATGGACATGGAGCTGGAAGAGGTACCTGACAGCCAGGTGGCTAGCTGTTTGTTCCTGGGAGTAGCCTTTTTGGCCTCAGTTTCCTTATCTGTAAAGTGGGGGGTAACTATACCGGTCCTATAGGATACTCGTGGTCACCAGCAGAGGTTCCAGAGGCTGCTGGAATTTGAAATCCAGGCCAGCACTATTTGCTGTGCGGCCCTGGGCAGATAACGAAACCTCTGAGTGTTAGGTTTCCAGCTATAAAATTCTCTCTTCAGAGTTGACAAGATAATCCACAAAGAGCACCTGCTAAGTCCCTGGCTCACTGGTAAGCGCTCGATGAGGGTTAGCCGCTGTTTTCTGCCAATAAAGTTGGTTGCTGTGAGGACAGGCTAGACATTAAAATTATAGAAGGCTGTATAAATTCAGGATCTCTCTAATGGTCTCTCCTTCCACTTGAACCTAAACAAAGGGGAAAATGGATCATGGCGAAGGCAAGCAAAATACACTCCCGTCAGCCGGGCCTTCAGGCGTCTCTGTGGAGATGATGGAAAATGGCTGCTTTTTAAACACATATTCTATGGCTTTTGGAAGGAGAAAAATCCAGATTGCAGAAAGAATGATCAAAGCCAAGGGCGCACTTTCGATTCCGTCTCTGTCAATTGGCCTAAGATCTTGCTGATCTGCACGTTTCTGCATGGGAAGCAGAGCAGGCGCCAAATTTCCGAGCTCCAGGAAAGCTGTTGTGGGTACATTTCCAACACGAAACCATCACTAGAAACACCTCCGGCATGAGGAACATCTAGCAGCTGAACAAGTGTTTTCTGTCCCAGACACCAAGACAGAAAATCCAAAACTGCCTTGCCTTTTCATAGCAAAGCTGCCTCGGGAGCGCTCAGAGGAGAAATACGAATCCGACGTCGCAAGACGCACCGTTTTTGCTTCTGTCCCATCGTTCCCGCCTTCACTGCTGGGCCTGTCTCTCCCGCTCGCTTCTTTGTTGCAAACGCTCTGACGATGTGACGGTGGAAGGTGTGCTAGAAGCAGCAGCCTACAGATGGACCCGGTCCCCGGGTTTGAGTCCCGACGTCCCTCTTACTTAAGCTGTATAATCTTGGGCAAGTCTCGGTCTTTTTGAGCCTACTATGGGGGTGTGGGCGTGAGCTGTGAATCCTGTCAAAATAGGCGCGAAAAGGCTTTGCAAACTTAACCCTAGGGGCTCTCAATCTGAGGTCTGGGGATGGGCTTTTAAAGATCTTCAGAGTCCCGGAATTTTATGCCTCATAAATGCAGAGAAAAAGCGCTAGAGGGAAGCCCGCCAAACTATCCAAGATGTTAACTTCCTATAAGGGGAGAAAGGCTGGAGGAAGGAAAGGGAGTCTCCACATCATCACGCCCATGTATCAGGATCGCTTGGATTTATTACTCTGAGGATGTATTTATATCGTTTTTTGTAGAAATAAGATATATATATATACATATATTTTTTACAAAGAAAATGCATGCAGAACTGCTCATGTGTATGAATATGTGCACTTACTGGGCATTTGGTCCATGAGTTCATCCGGGGGATATAAGGGTTAGAGACCTCCAAGAGTGCATAAAGGAAACCCCTGGTCCGCGCTCCTGCCTTCCCCACCCTGCCCTGGGCTGCCTCCCCTGGCGGCTCCTGTCCCCACAGCGGTATCTCCAGGTCCCACCAACTGCTTCCTGCCCTCGCCCCTTCAGACCAATG